TCATTCATCTACCACCCCTATCACTCCCCATCCCCTCACTCTGCTTTATTTTTCCTCATATTATCACCACCCCAAATAAGATACATATTTCTTGTGTATTTATTTGTGGGTTGTCTCCCCCACTAGAATGTGATCCCCACATGCCAGGGAAATTATCTTTGTTCTCCATTTTGTTTTCTGTGCTTAGAATAGTACAAACACATAGCAGGTGCTAACATCACATACATATTATCTCATTTAATCTTGATCCAGCCTTTTTTTCTTTTTTCTAAAGGAAAGGAGTGTGAGAAACCACATATCACACAGTCATTAAGTAGCAAAGCTGAGACTTTAACCTAGTAGTGTGTGTGTCCAGAGCTCAGATTTCCAATTACTGTATTTTCCCCTCCTCTAGGGAAACTGAAACCTTGTCTCTGACCTTTGTCTATGCATCTGTCCTGTAAATTCTCCAGGAAAACCTTTTGGTTTTGTTGGTATGATTTTTCTTCCTCATCTTATATTCATACATTATTAGGCATCATTAACCTGAGGAACTGGATGTAGAATGTAGTGACAGGTTTCAACAGTGCTGTCCACATATGCATTGACGAGCCCAGGGCCATCATTTAGTTAATGTTGATGAAAATATATTTTGATTGCTGCAGAACTGTGCTGCTTTGGGTTCGTTTTGGGTCCATCTATGCTAAGTGGTAACTGAAGACTTTGCAGAGTAAAAACCGGTGCAACAACTGACAGGAAGTCATCCTTTTGTACAGCTCACTTTGAGGATGGAAGTCGATCTCAGAGGAACAAACAGTCTTTCTATGTGCTTTGCCTCCATTTCAGCTCAGTTCCACAAAATCTCCTTGAACTCTTACTTCTTATCATGCCCTGCGTGCAGAGCCAAGGATACTGTCCTGATTACTTATTGCTGTATAAATGGCTACCTCAGAGTTGGTGTGAAACAATCACCATTTTACTTTGCTTATAAATTCTGTGAGTTAATAGTCCACACAGGGCCCAGTAGAGATGGCTTGTATTTCCTTGACATCTGGGCCTTGGCTGGGAAGACCTCAGTGGCTGGAGAGGCTTAGACACCTGAGAAATGGAATCTTCTGAAGGCTTCTTTCCTCACATGTCTGGTGCTTAGGTTGATACTCCTTGAAGGCTGGGCTCAGCTGGGTCCTTGACTGGACTTATGTACTCATGTTTGGCCATGTGTCTTTAGCTTTGCACAGCGTAGCAGTTGGGTTCTAAGAGATAATCTCTTGAGATGGGTCATCCAGATAAAAAGCATTCCAGAAGCTGACAGACTTCTGATCTAGCCTTGGAAATCATATTACATCATGCTGCATTCCCTTGGTTAGATACATGTTTTTAAGGGCAAATCCAGATTCAAAAGGAGGATAATTAGACTGGACTCCTTGATGGGGAATGGTGAGGTTACCTTGCAAATATCATGTTTTGGACATTCTTGGAAATTCTTCCATAGACACAGAAAAGAAATATACTACCTGTGAGGACTAGAAGTTGATCACCGGAAGAGTGGCACATCAGATTTCTATCAGGCAGCTTCAACAGCATACACATTATGTCTATAAACAGGGTTATTTGCTCTGCCTTGTGTTTCCATCCCAGTGTTCAATTAGCAATTTTTATAGACCTATCACCTTGCTGTGATGACTTACTGTGTGAGTTCTGGTGTTGCTTTGAAGCTTAGACTGTGTGTGTTTGTATTTATTTTCAATGTTGACCCCCAGCCTCGTTTGCCTGGCTAATTCCCATTCAGTCTTTTAATTATATGTCACTTCCTCCAGGGAGGCTTCCCTCATTCTTGCCTGGATTATGTTCCCCTTTTGTGTATTACTATATGTACCACATGTCATCTGGGATCAGAAGGGCCTGCTTTTGTCTCTAGATTGTAGGCTTTATGAAGGCAGGACCAGTGTGTGTCTTAGCCTTTGTAACCTGTTCCTACCACTTAAGAGGTCCTAAATAATTACATACTGGTAAAGAAAGCTGCTTTTTAAATCTGTTATCGAGTGTCTGATCTGCAGAGATAAAAGGCAATCAAGGGCAGGGAGAGGGCCACAAGGTTAGCATGATCTATTTCTCTTCCTTCCCCATACTCTTTTTTTCCCTTCTTTTTAGTCTTCCTCTGCACTCAGAGAAGAAATTAATCATAGAAATCGCCCAGCATACTTACCTGTACCCATTGGGCCCCCAGCTCTGTAAGGAGGGCAGCGGGGAAGTATCTGGCATTATTACATCCTTTATGGTGAGTTGACTCTGCCAGCAACAAAGAAGAAAGAAGTCAACCACTCACAGTGTGATCCAGAAAGTGTACCCCCACTGTAGGCAATGAGGCGGATAAAGCTTCGGGTCTTCCTGTGCTCCAGGGATTTTCGTGTTAATACAGATTCCTGGAAATACTCATCAGAGAGCTGGGGTGTCAGAGACCTATTGTAAGCCTCTTTCCATCTCAATAAATATGTACTTTAATATTTCGAAGGTGGCATTTCCTTGGTAGTTGGCCTAGCAAAAATGTTTAAGTGTTATAATTTTCATAGTCCCAGCCTAGTTAATTTTTTTTAAAAAGCTAACAATTTTTTCAGTATATGCTATATTGTGGGCCCTTAGCAAACATTTCTAATTATATTTTTCTTAATATTGTTCCACAGCGGGGCCCCTGGGTGGCTCAGTCGGTTAAGCGTCTGCCTTCGGCTCAGGTCATGATCCCAGGGTCCTGGGATCGCGCCCCACATCGGGCTCCCTGATCAGCGGGAAGCCTGCTTCTCCCTCTCCCTCTATCTGCTGCTCTGCCTGCTTGTGCTCTTTCTCTCTCTGTCAAATAAATAAATAAAATCTTAAAAAAAAAATATTGTTCCACAGCCAGGCAGGTAGTATAATGTCTGCTTTAAAGATGGGTAAATGGAGTCTCGGAAGCGTTAAGAGGATGACTGGTATCTCGGATCAGCTGCTTGTGGGGGGCCTGTGGTTCAGACTCAGTATGTCTGCCCCTAACTCTTCTATTTACCCACCTTAAGCACAAATGATTTCATTACAGCCTTGTCTATACCCTTTCCCTCGATCCTCTAGTGTCTCTTTTTTAGAAAACAGTGAAGGGCATCAGAACTTGTCCCCTTAGCATCCTCTCAGCAACTTAGGCTGCGAAAAATTATATGTAATGTTGGTATATTAGTTTTCTAGCACTGCTTTAACAAAGTGCCACACACTGGGTGGCTTAAAACAACAGAATTTTTTTCTTATGATTTTGGAAGTCAGAATCCAAAATCAAGGAGTCAGTAAGGTTATGCTCTCTCCACAGGCTCTAGGGGAGAGTCTGGTAACTGCTGGTGTTCCTTGACTGTGGTTGCATAATTCCAATCTCTGCCTCTGTCTTCGCGTGACCTTCTTTCCTTTGTGTATTCTGATGTGTCTCTTCTTCTAATAAGGGCACCAGTCATTGAATTTAGGGCTCACTTTAACCGTGTATGTCCTCACCTTAACTAATTACATCTGCAGAAATCCGAAATGAGGTCACATTCTGAGATTTCAGTGGACATGCATTTTGTGGAGGACATTATTCAACCCTCTGCAGCTGGGAATGGAGGATGAATTCAATAGGAATTTGAAGAAGCATGTGGGAAAGCAGGGGAATAGGACTAGCACATTTTCAAGGTTCTGTGTTTCCTTTGATTGCGGCCTCTTTTTCTTGGGGACCTTGTAAGTCAAATGAGACCCCCAGAGCACCTGACAAGGAGTCACAATCACTGATTAAAAGGGAGGAAAAGAGACTTTGCCTTTTTCCAGTCTCTCTCTCCCTCTCTCTCTCTCTCTCTTTCCAGTTTCTTTTGTTTTTCTGTACCATCTCCTTGCTTCAGAAAGAGAAAGAACAACATATTCATACCAAGACTCCCAGCAGGAACAGGCAAACTTCAATGATAAAGATAAGCATTAATGCAGCACTACCTTTCTTGCTGTGTTTTACATTTAGACAGTTTTCTTCCGAGTTCCTTTGGGTAGTTGTAGAACCAGAACAGTCACAAGCCACCATCTTCACAGTGGAGAGAAAAAGGGCCTCAGAAAAAGGGTCACTTTGGGTATGATTATGAGATTATTACATAAAACCAAAGTCAAACAACAGTTTTGCATGTTTTATTCTCATATTGGATATTCCTATCGGACCAGGTGTTTTAAAAGAAGCCCAGAGACATGGACCACTGTTCAGTTCTTCGTCAATTTTGTAGTTTAATGATGCATTTCTAAATTATCCCTGTGGAGCCAAATTAACATTTACTGAATCCGTATTACTTGGTTGGTGCGCTGCTAGACACTTTTCCATGCTTTCTCAGCTAATCTTTCCAACAGCTCTGTGTGATATGTCTTACATTGCTTCTTTGCCAGGTTATATTAACTGAGCCTTCTTTGGAAGCTCACATGCGGGATTGTTTCTTTTCCCTTCTTTGACCTTAGAGGAAGTTTTCCCAACCTAGGTGCTGTTGACGTTTTGTACTAATTAATGTTTTCTTGTGCTGGGCTTTCCGGTGCATTGTAAGATGCTTAGCAGCCTCCCTGGCCTGTATCCACTAGATTCCAGTAGCACCCCTACCCCAAGCCATGATAACCAAGGATATTGTCAGACATTGTCAAGTGTTTCCAGTGGGGAGGAGATGCAGAATTGCTCCCTGCTGAGAAACACTGCCTTGGAGCCTCAGTAGAAACCTTTGCAGGTCATGGAAAAGGCAATGTCCTTAGAGCAGCTCTTACCAGTCATGTGACTTGCATAAGACCCTGACTTCTCGGACCCTTAGTTTCTTTACCTGCAAAGCAGGGATAATGACACCCAACTTGCAGGGTTGTTGAGATTTCAGCCTCACTAGGCGTAGAAACTGCTAGGTACATAGTAAGAGCCCCATACCTGGTAGTCCGTCATTCTTCTTTGGTGAGTCCCAACTTTTCCAACACTTGTGACGCCGACTTAAGAAGAAATGTGTCTCTCTTTCTCCCCCTGCCAACAGAGCATGATGAATGTGGCAGCGGGCAGCACAACTGTGATGAGAATGCCATCTGCACCAACACTGTCCAGGGACACAGCTGCACCTGCAAACCGGGCTACGTGGGCAATGGAACCATCTGCAGAGGTAGGCTTGCTGCCTTAGGGGTAAGCTGGGGTCCTCTGGCCTGCCTGGGCTCCTGGTACTCATGTGGCAGACCCTTTTCACCATGGCGGTAGCTGAGCCTGGCCAGGCTTCTGTTCCTGGTCTGTCATCTGGTGAGGGCACTGTGCAGCAGAGAAGAAGAAAAATGCTTTAAGTCTACATTTTGGATTGAATGCAGAAGGTAGGCCTTTGGGTGAGGGGCATTGTTCCACAGCTCTGTATGGTTCTGTTTGGCTTTGCTTCTCGGCCTGAGTTTGGGAGGGACACTGTGATTGCTGATGTTCCCTGTGAGCTTTGCTCAGAGAGCAAGTGGGCACTGCCTGTGGCCATATTCGAGGTATCTGCTTGGGTAGGAGGCTTCAAGTCCCTCTCTCTCTGTGCTGAGCAGTTCAGCAATTCAGAGGCAGTGCCTTGGCTGCCATCTGCATTTAGAATAAAATTAAAATTGCTCCTGATGGCTTATGAGAGCGTTCAGAGTCTGGTCCCTGGCTCCTCTCAGCTGGCAGCTCTCTCTTCTCTCTCACTCATCCCTTCTACAACCAACATATTATTCCTCACTATTTCTCAAACATGCCAACCACATTCCCATCTCAGGGCTTGGCACTCTCTGTCCCCTCTGCCTGGATACTTCCTTGGGGTCTCTATGCAAGGGTCCCCTTATCATAGCAACTTTGGTTGGCCAACCCTAAAATAGCACCCCTATTATTTCTTAGCCTCATACCGTACTTTATTTTTCCTTCACTAACACAACATGACAGAACATTATACATTTATGTGTTTGCTTCTGTACTGTCTGCCTCCCCACTGGAATGGAAGCTCTCTGAGAGCAACCACTTAGTTTTGACTCCCTGGTCTGTCCCCAGCAATTAGAACGATGCTTGGCACATTGTAGGCACTCAGTAAGTATGTGTTAACTTACCGAATTAACCAAAGAGGAAAGTGACAAGACTACACTGAAAAGGGGGCAAATGTACAAAAAACCAGGAAATAATCCTTTGAGTTAGGTATTATTGTAATTATCCCCATTTTAGAGGTGACAGAACTGAGGCACAGAAAGGTTAAGTAACTTACCCAAGGACACACAGCATATTATCAGGACTCTTCTGCAGAGATGACATGCTGATGAAGAGAGAGAAATAATGTGCAACGACTAAGTAACCATATTCATGCCCTCAACTGGGGAGAATTTTTAAAAATAGATTTTATTCTTGGCATGCCAACTGAGTAGGTGACTCTGTGGTTAAGCTTCCAACTCTTGGTTTTCGCTTAGGTCATGATCTCGGAGTCGTGGGTTAGAGCCCCGAGCTGGGCTCCACATTCAGCCTAGAGCCTGCTTAAGATATTCTGTCTCCCTCTGCCCCGCCCCACTGTGCTAGCTCTCTCTCTCTCTCTCTCTCTCTCTCTAGTAAATAAATAAATCTTTAAAAAATCGATTTTATTCTCTGTTGGTGAGGTTGGGGTAAACAGATTTATTATTTGTTTACATGACAGTGTAAATTGGTGAAACTTTTTAATGGCAATTTGAGAAAATCTATCAACATTTAAAGTAAATCTGAAGAGTAATATAAGGATCCTCTTGATTCCATCAATTTTACCTTCTGAAATGTATTCTAGGAAATGCACATGTCATGGGGGGGGAATATGCGCGTACAGTGATGTTTTGCTGCATAGTTTGTATTCACTGAAAGCCAGCAACAACCAAAATATCTGTCGGTAATGGAATGATTGATTTCACATATCATTTTGTGGAATAGAATACAGTGATTTAAAAGTCTATGTCTATGTATGTACATACACGTGTGCATGTGCATACACACACTCTGAAAGATCTCCGAGACATACTTTTGAGAAAAAAAATAAATCTATAGGACAATACTTATATTATCATCACATATCTAATTTGTTATTTACAAATATATGCATACTTATGTCAATGCGTAGAGACTGGAAACATGCAAACTGTTCATTTTATTGTCTATGGGGATGTGTGTGTATGACAAAGAACATTGACCTCAAGGAATTCAATGTTGTTTGCATCTTTTACAGTGGGAATTTACACATATAATATTTGTGTGTGTGTTTTAAGTTCCGTGAGGCAAATAAAAGTGCTAGTACTCAGGTTTGTTTTTTTTTTTTTTAAAGATTTTTATTTATTTATTGAGAGAGAGAGAGAATGGTAGAGAGAGCGCATGAGAGGGAAGAAGGTCAGAGGGAGAGGCAGACTCCCTGCTGAGCAGGGAGCCCGATGCGGGACTCGATCCCGGGACTCCAGGATCATGACCTGAGCCGAAGGCAGTCGCTTAACCAACTGAGCCACCCAGGCACCCTAGTACTCAGGTTTTAAAAGAAGGCTGAGGATACTTACAAAGTAAAACAAAAAAACCTAAATATTAATATAATTCCGTGGATTATCAAGCCCACTGCTGGTACTTGCATGCTAATGCTAGACGTCTGAGGAGCACCCAGGGATTTGACTTTAATGCATTTTTTTTTTCAGAATTATGTTACCTCATAAAATAATATTAATTGCACTAGTTCAGTGAGTTTGTGTTTGCCAAACCCTCACATGTCGTTGTGCTCTGGAAATACATCTTCACTTAAAAGTTATGAATCAAGGACAAAAATTTTCTTAACGTGGTTCTCATGGTCATTTGTGTGGACCTCAATAAGATAGGGAGAATCTCATGTTTTGTGAATATTGCCTAGGGGGGCAGTGCAGTGTAGTTGAAGGACTGGACCACAAGGTTACAGAGTTTGGGGTTGGATAAGATTTCCTTGCTGGTGAGTTGTAATTTCTGTAGTTTTACATACTAAAATTGGGTTAACATCACCATCTGTGTTTTTCCAACAATGTTATTGCAAAGAATTTTTAAAAGAGTGTATATGTGTATATATATCTCAATGTGTTTTAAAATATCAAATGCTGTAAAATGTAAAAACAGTATCGGTAGTGGTACAATGAGGAGAAGGGGGAGGGGAGGAGGCAGTTGATGAGTTGCTTGAACCTCAGCTTTCTGACTGAAGTACCTAAATTGGTGTCTCAGTTTCAAAGCATACATTTTATAGTTAAGTTTTCCAACTGTAACTGAAACATTTACAGAGAGAGTTGGACAAAGATAACTAGACAACTTAACCAATTTTTTTTTTTAAAGATTTTATTTAGTTGAGAAAGAGAGAGAACGAGGGAGGAGGGGCAGAGGGAGAGAGAGAATCTCAAGCAGACTCCCCGCTGAGTCATGACCCTGCGATCATGACCTGAGCCCAAATCAAGAGTTGGCTGCTTAACTGACTGAGACACCCAGGTGCCCCAGAAAGATCCTTCTAAGTGAGAGAGAAAGATCCTTCAAAGTAAGCGAGCAGCGGGGAGGGTCAGAGAAGCAGACTCCAGGCTGAGCAGGGAGCCCCCAATATGGGAGTAGATCCCAGGACCCTGGGACATGACCTGAGCTGAAGGCAGAGGTTTAAGGACTGAGACACCCAGGCGCCCTTGAACTATTTTTTTTAATGTATAAAAGCTCTTCTACAGGTGGTATTATTCACAGAATTGACTACATCTGCCTAGAAATAAACACTAACACTATTCACAAGCAAAACACAAGGCAGCACTTTCTCAAACAATACTAATTGGTGTGAATTCTTTCAGATGGGCTTTCCTGGTGGCCAGTGCCCAGGGAATGTTTTTTTTTTTTGGATTTTTCTTTTCACGTGGATGGTAAATACCCATTCAGCTTCAGCAGTCACAAAATATGTGCGAGCTGGCTTGCTGAGTGTTCGCATATGTTACTGCATTAGTTCCACCATATCCCTGGAGGTTGATAGCATTGTTCCAGCTCACAGGTAAATCTTGAATAAGCATAGTTAAATCCAATTTAACCTGATTAGTGCTACTGTCTTTAGTTCCCTTCCTTTATCTTTTCCGTTTTTCTTCACTTTCCCCTTCTTCTTTTTCCTCCCTGGCTATTCATTATTTAACACTCTTTCGTTTGTTTGTTTCCTTCTAACTAGAGACTGTAAAGAAATCAGAAAGGGAAGAGAGAGTACAATCGCAATCTATAATTTTTTAATTTGCTCCCATTTTTTGATAGACTAAAATACTTTTGAAACTATGCAAGACTTGCTGCTAAAAGTTTGGGTTAAATGGGCAAAACACTGGCAAACTGTTTGAGATCTGATTTGCACAACCTGACCTGAGGGTCGGGGTTGTGTGTGGGAATGTTGACCTGCTTTCCTTCCCAGTCCTGCATGGACCTGGATCTGAAGGTGGGCCTTGGGCAGCTGCCAGTTAGTAGGTGAGACCTTCTCCCTTGTCTGTCCCTTAGGGCTGGATGAGATGTGATGATCCTTGAGAACATTCTTGTCTTAATGACTGATAATATTGACATTTATTTTATAAACATAGAGTAAGTGTGAATTCTGTGTCTGGAGCGTAGTTCTGGGCACCAAAAGAGTACAAGGCAAATAAGACAAGGTCTCTGGAGACGTCACCATTTAGTGTGTGTGGAGGGGGGAAAGATTTGAACAGATGATTCCCACCCAATATAACTTATTACAGAATGGTATTATATTATGTGTAAGAGGCTTACAAAAAAATATTCAAAATATAGAGCCACATGAAAGGCATTATTATGTGTTAGTTAGGACTCCTTTGGTTGCAAATAAGAGAAATCTAGCAAGCCTGGCTATGTAATTGTTAGAGCCCAGAGTAAAATGAGAGTGTGGGGAAAAAAGGAAAAGTCTTCTGTTTAAGAGTACTAAAATATAAAGTTCTTGCCTGCCTTTTGTAGTCTCTTCTCAACTTATCAAGGTGTTTTCTATTTGCTATTTAAAGTCACTCCCCAGGGTGCTTGGGGAGCTCAGTTGGTTAAGTGTCTAACTGGTTCTTCCTCTCCTTCTACCTCTGTCCCTACCCCCCCAATGAATTAAAAAATAAAGTCACTCCCTTGGCTGCGGGGATACTCTTAAGGTGAGTGCAGATGCTCAGA